TCGTCTCTGATTCATCGTACTTTCCATTCTCTCTCAGCACACTAGCTAGGTTGTTGACACTTGACAGGGTGTCCGTGTGGTCTGGTCCAAGAATCCTCTCGCGCCCCTCCAGTTCACGCCGACTCATTATCTCTGCCTCATCATACTTTCCCTGGGATTTTAGCGCCACAGCCAGGCAGTAGACGACTTGCATGACTCTCTGACTGTTTGGGCCCCACGATCCTTCAACATCCTCTAATAAATCCCTCAAGATCTTCTCGCCTACTTCCGCCTTTCCTTGCATTATTCTTATCCAACCCAGGTCCATAACCCTCTGGTAACGCTCCCCATCCCAATCATGCTCTTTATTCTCTTCCCGGAGTGCAAGACATCGACGCAATTGAATTTCTGCATCGTTGTAGGAACCAATCCCTTTAAAGTAGTCTCCCAGGCGGAAACAAACCTCTTCGGCGATGGGATCAGTTGAATCTTTGGTTACTACAATTGCATGGGGAATGTATGCAGAACCAACATATCTCCCCGTCTTCTCATCCGGAAGGAATAGCCTTAAAACCGCTTTCAACGCAGTGGCCCTCCACAATTTCAACTCTTCCGTTGGTAAATACAGTTGTAAAGACAGTTGGACCAAACGGTGAAGCTCGTAAAATGTCTTGTCCTCAAATTTGGCAGCGGTAACTAGTGAAAATCCCAATAGCGTTCCAATGGCCTGACGAAATTGAATTGGGTCATCTATCCCTTCCAAACCGCTTTGGGTCAATAGGTCTTGGGGTATGTTCTGGCGATCGAAGCAGACGATTAGGCGCAGAAGATTGGAAGCTAAGGGCATCTGCCGCGTGATCTGGTCAAAAGTAACAAAGTACGTCGTAAGGGTGCTATTAGTTAGATCTACCTCTCGTTGGATGTCCCAAAATGGTTGTGAAAGGAGACTCTTTGCTCGTTCGTCGCTTTCTTCGAAAACGGCCCAGTACGTGGATGGCGGTGTTTGGGTTTCTATCATGAAGGCCGCTGCACCAACGATAGCCAGTGGGATGTGATGTACGGATTCTAGGATCCTTGTGATGGCCTCATTTTCTTCCTCGTTCAAACTGTCCGGGCTACCAAACCGTCTCAAGAACAAGGCTCGCGCCTCATCCTCCTCCATTTTTCCAATATCTATTCTTTCGCAACCTTGCCAGGATGCAACCCGCAGTGATCTGGTGGTGAATATTATCGTACCCCGGGGCCCTTGTGGTACGAATTTGGAGATGGGCCCACAGTTGCCGGTGAAGTCCTCCTCTTTGTCGGCATTATCAATAACCATTATCCAATCACCGCTAGCTGAACCTTCAAACCACCTTTTTATGTTTACCAGGAATCCTTCTTGGTCCGTCTCGGCACTGGCTAGCGGAATTCGAATGTGTTGTGCGATAGCTCTAAAACCCTCACTAAACTTCTGCACCCCACCCCCGTGCACCCAGTGGACATCACAGTCTCTCTCGCTTGCGCTCCGGTAAACGTATTCAAGGGCAATCTGAGTCTTTCTAAGCACCGTTAGAACACCCCCGAAATACTAATGATGAGTGCATACCCAGAGCCCCCCAGTCCATGAAGTGCGATCCGGTTGTGGGAATTCCGCTCGGAAAGCCTCCTTATTGACTCGATCAGATCCTCACGGCCCGTGAACTTGCTGTTTCTGCAATAGGGAATTATCCGATAAGGCCTAGGTTCATGTTCTAGTTGTAGGAGCGCATTAGACTTGTGCCGGAAAGCTATCGGAAAAGCTTGTAATACCTCTATCCTCTGCTCTTAGCCCATACTGGTGATTTATCTGCCCGATATTGGTAACGTGCAGGTTTCCCGTGTTTATGCGATTATTATTATGGCTGCCGGTAACGTTGTGACTCCCTAAATTCCCGCTAAAGTCTCCGCTAATATCACCTTGTATTTTTCTAGGAGGATTGTTAGACGGGTGCTAATTATTTTCGAAAGCATAGACCTTGGAGGGAAGGGGACCCCACCGATCCATCAAGTGCTCAATTATGTAGCTCCCTATCGGGCTATTTTCGCCGGTCGAGTAGAAAAGTAATCAGATGTGGCCAGCGTACCTAAACCGGGAGGGGTAGCTGATACGCCGCCAACGGAGCCAGTTCAAAATGGTTTTTCTAGCCCTGAAACAAGTCAATACCGCGAGAGATGGTCTTCCAAAATGTGTGGCAGAGGACCCTATCATACCTTGGATATGGCGATAAATAACTGTCTAGTTTTGAGGGGGTTATGGGAGGAATATTAACCCGGGTAGTTCGAATTCGGTAAAGCCTAATAATTTAGTAAGACGGTACGGGATGGGTATCAGAGTGACAGCGGCACAAGGCGTCCGGAAGATCAACCCCCGTTTAGCTGCTCGGGCGGGGTAGAGGCGTGAGAGAAGAAAACAATGGGCATTGTGACTACATAGCTATTATAACTCCCTGCTAAATTTAGTTTGGGTGTTGTCCCTGCAGTTGATCGGACTTTGGTCATAGGGTCAGCGGTGGCCGGTATTTGGTGCATGCCTCTCCACCCGACAGGAAACCCACGTTCGCGAGATGATACGGTGACTACAACCCCCTGACCACAAAAGCAGTTTGCCATATCATATGGTAGCTGTGTAGTTTGGGATAGTGGCGCCTGTGCAGTGCTCTCTCGGGTGGGGCTCCTGAGGGTGCGGATTTGAGCGCGTTCAATGATGGCAATGTACGAATAGAGTTGTTTTGACCCATGCTCGGAGGTGGGCCCCTTTTCTCGCATGATCCTACGAGGCACTAGTACCCTAAAGCCCATTAGACATCTAAAATCCGAGGTGGCGCGTAAAACAAGGTAAAAATACGGGACACAATACGCTGACGGTACACTGTACCGACAATGGTTTGGTGAAGCCCTTGTAACCGAGCCTGTCTGCGTTAGCACGTGCAAAGGCTACGTACGCCGCATTTGTGGGAATTCCCAACGGAAGTGGCGCAGGCGGGAGGCGGCACCGAAGGTCGCACGAGACTGGGATTCCTACGATACTGTACTCGAGTACTGTATCATCCGAGTTCTGGTATCATACGATATCTGCGCGAGCAAAGGGCAAGCGAATCAATATCTCACAAGACCATAACCCTCCACAGCCTAGCCATTGTTCCAGAATCTTTCAAAATTTACAACTGACAAGCTATTGATACCTGGGGATGCAGTCTCTACCATGGCTTCCCAATTTTAATCATTGAGTTCTATGATATTGTGTAATTTCATTTTTACTATCGTGATCACCAGCCAGGAATCTAGAAAAGAGCTTTTTTTCCTAGGATGGAAATGGCCCACGAGCTGGATTTCCGATCCAAACCCCGGGTTTTTCCGGGTTCCCCTGGGAAATACGTACTTCTTTTTTTTCTTTCTCGTTCCTAACTTCCTGGATACAGGTGAGCTAAGCTGTTGTTTCTACACCAGCTTACATATTCGGCTCTGGGCTTGTTACCTTCTGGGCACTATTTAAAGAGGAAGCACACCCTAGGCGCGTAATCCCTGCGCCCTTATTTGCGAAACTCTGATACCATTATCTATGGGACAAGGATTGGCACATTTTTCAACAGAAAAAATGGACCACCGGTACCGTACACCATCCGCACCACCCAGAAGACTGTGGTAACGACGCAGGTACTGGAATCCGGTGAGAGCGATATCACTACCAACAATAACTCCTACAGGTATACTAAGCGGGGGGAGATCTACTGAGAACTTATTAATCACTTCCCTATCAATCTCCACCAGCAAGACCTACCGGTATTGCAGACCCAGGCCACTGTAGGTAGTAGCAGAATAAATGGGTAAAAGAGTTATCTGGTTTCAAGCGTGGAAAATAATGTCCAAATCTGCAAAATTCACTATGTGGAAGCCCTTAGTGCATTGTCTTAATACAGATGGTCTGTTGGCTTTAAATGTCGGATCGGCCTAGGTTATAGCGATAGGGGAACGGACGGGCGATACGCGAATAGACGAAGCCGCGGAACGGCGGCAATAGCGCACAACGAACACCACAAAACAAAACGCCAAGACCTCACTCACACACGAAAACGATTAGACAGCTTGCGAGCGGAGAAAAGCTCCTTTCTTCGTCTTCCCCATCCCTATCGCGCTCAACTAACTAACGGTAAAGACAGGAGCATATTTCAATGACAACACAACAAAGTCCTACTGCCCCTCCATCGACTACCACACTTGTCCACACTATTGCTCATGTACCCACAGCTGCTTTCTGTAACTCCCGCGCTAATGAAGGCAAGGCCAACTCCCGCTGTCCATAGCCTCCGATGTTCCTCATGGCCTTTTCGTTTTCCTTCCAGCGGATACACTGCTCCGGGACTCGCATTCCCGCGGCCGAAGTGCGTTGCCAAAAAGCCAAACTACGTTGGCGGAAACCAACACGCACCCGAAGTCAGAGTGCGCCCGAAACAAAAACCTGCTCACAGAGACTACCCGGGCAAACAGACGAACAGTCTGTTGGAAATCACGAGATGCTGCTCGGCATGCTCGTACCTTCCCCTACCCCCCCCCCCGTTCCTTTCCTCTACTGTTTGTTTGGCTCGTCCGCGGAGTGGTTTGTCTAGTTGCACAGTAATTAGCTTTCCTTTGTGAGTTTCTGGGAGCGCGCTTTAGTTCCGGGCGTACTCTGGCTTCGGGCGCACTGTTGGCCTTCAGGGAAGGGCTTGGGCGACGGGAGCGCGCACAGGGTTTGGAATCCGCCAGGAGGCACGGAAAGAAAGTAGCGTGCTGGGGGAGGAGCGCGGAGGCAGTGTAGGCACAAAAGGATGCCGCGGAAGGACGGTGCGGAGGCAGCGGGAGCCGAAAGGAAAGTGGCGGGGAAGTCCGTCTTTTCTTTGTTAGCGGTTTGTTTGCGAGTTGGGGAGGAGAGAAAGACTTAGCGAGAAGGATCGGAGAGCACCGCAAAGTTTGTTCTTTTGTTAGCTTTTGTTTGCTAGTATGTGGGGGACTTACCTGGGGTGGGGAGGACCGGAGGACTTGGTTTGTGGGTTTGTGTCATGGACTGTGACTAAGCTCACATAGTTTGGAATTTGGAGCTATAGGTATGTTGGAATTTCACATGATGCACATTAGTATGTCATAGGTTATTATGTTTACCTGTTCGTGACTCATACTTGTGAGTTACATGATGTTATGATTTTCGCACATGATTCAAATTATGAGTCATAGATTTTATGCAGGTGACATGAGTTACACACCTGACTTAGTTATTTTGTTTTGATTGGTTTTAGGTATGTTGTGCAGCAACTCATAAGAGTCAGCCTATAGATTTTACACAACTCAGAGTTGTAAGTTATACAGTTTACATGACATGAGGTATGAGTCATACTAGGTAAAGACTAACTATATAAAGAGTCACTAGGACCCCGAGTATGAGCTCTTTACTTGTTCTTCTAAGTTATTTTCTACACTTATTATTATACAAATAAAACGTATCTTTACGCTCCTTAAGATTTATCTTAAGAAACCCGAGACCTGCCTCTCCTCTCATGAAGCAAACAATAAGTCCTGAGCAAGGACTTAAGAAGATCAAGGAAATAGGCACCTACTGATAGAAGTCAAAGGGCTTGACTCTCGATCTCACATAGGCAGTGGCCTAAGAACTATTTTCTTAACGCAAGTAAGAATTGTTACCTGTTGCATGCCCAGGCAGGATCGGATACTTAGCAGTTTGTTGGTTATCGCTATTGTGATATATACTCCTCTCGCTGCTATTCGTTGTCAACTTTGCTATAGATTCTATCTTTCCAGAAGTGGCATGGATTCCTTGGTCATTAATTACATGTCTTAGGATTTTGAGCCAATCCATAAATAAGGTTGCTTTATTCTTACTGGCATGAAGCTTTTGGTATTGCAATTTCTCACATACTAACCTGATGTGCTTTGCATACTCTTCCTTGGTATCAGAGCAGATAAGAATGTTATCAATGTAGACCGATACAAAGTGGGGTAGGTATTTGCTAAACTAGTTTTCTATAATGCGCATAGGGGTGGCTGGTACATTAGCATCTCCTTGTGAGATAACCTTGCTGATAAACGTTCCCAAGGGTATTTTGAATAAATTCAATGATTCATTCTTTTCATCCACTCTGGTCAGGAAATTCGCATCACCTAAGTCTATCTTGCTATAGTATTTTGCTTGTCCTACTGCTTCTAGGATTTCAGTTTAGTTCAGGATTGAGGAGCTGTCTATAATTGTGTTATTATTGAGTATTTTGTAATCAACCACAGGTCTGGTCCACTTTCCATCAGCCTTGAGTTGGACAAACTGAGATGCTGTACCAGGTGCCTGTTTTCTGTAGATAAACATGACTCCTCTTCTCATCATCTAATTGATCCACTCTCGCAATTGATTCTTATATGTAGCGGGGATGGAGGAGGTAGATTGGTTTTTAAGGTTTTTCAGGTCTAGTAGAGTAATCTGGTGATTTTCTACTCCTACGTGTCACGGCCACCCAGCCATGGAGACGGAATATGCATGAGCTTTCGTTGCCTACATTGGTGTTGGTTTCCTTGGTTGCATAGTTGGTTTTCTTTGGTACATGTGATTAGAGTACGCTGCGGCGCGACGGAACATGGCGGAACCTGATAGAAGAATCGCGGCTGCGCGCGATGCCCAGGACTTTTGTTTGTATTAGTTATCATGTAGGATTTCTTTGCTATATAAGGAGGTGTGCCCCCTTACATTTTACATTCTTTACGCAATCTGGTAATCTCCTTCGGACACCTGTACCTAGGAATTACACTCTACTCTACTTCGGGTCCTCCTGAACCTCTGAACCATGACCCTGAACCCCTGACCCCTTGAGCCTTGTACAACTCGCTACGGTTGTACGCCCGTTCCTAGACCTCGCCTCCAGACTCTCGCGTGCTCCTATCGTGGTGTGCCTTGGGCTACCCGACCCTCAGACCCTGCCCGTTACACAAGATTGCGTCTACCAGGACCCAGCCCACACCAAGCCATGGCCACGTCTCACCTCCCGGAAAACATCAATGCCTCCCTCCAGGCCCTCGCGGGTTTGGGGGACGACTATGTTCAAAACTTGAACCTCATCCAGTCCCAACACCAACTCCAACAAGCCAGGAACCTGGCTCGCCAGATCATGAACGCGCCTGCTCCTCCCCCTCGCCACGCCACTCCCGTCCCCCCTGAATGGACCCCCCAGTACCTACACCTACAACAACACTGCGTCACCCTCACCCAAGAACGAGACGATGTGCGTACCGAAGGCCAAGACCGCGAGGCCCGTCTCATTATCATCGAAAACCAAATCATGCAGGCCAACCCCACCATCACGTCCTTAAATACCGCTCTCGCCCTCATGCCCACCCCCGGTACCGCCGCCCCCGGTACCGGCAACAAACAAGTCTCGATCCCGGACCCCGAACATTTTGATACTACTACCGATAAACTCCGACCCTTCCTCACCCAGCGACGAATGAAACTCCCGGGGGATGCCCACCGGTTCACCCGCATACAACACCGTCTCGGCTACGCCATTGGCCTCCTCGGTGGACGCCCCTTCGTTCAGATCCAGCATCGGGTCTTACCCGACCGTAACGAGTTTGAGGACATGGATACCTTTCACGCCGAACTGGAACAAGCCTTCGGTGACCCCAACAGGGTCCAAACAGCCGAATGCGCCGTGAGGAGCCTCCAGCAAAAGAACCGGCCCTTCGTAGAATACCTTGCAGATTTCCAACGTCTGGCAGTGGACACTCACTGGAATGATGCCGCCAAATGTAGCTCCCTCTATCAAGACCTTAGCACAGAGCTAAAACATGCCTTGGTCCACGTCTTCCCTGTCCCGGAAACCTTAAACAACTACCTCTCCCTCCTCGAGCAACTCGATAGCAACGTCCGGGCCCATGCTGCAGAAAAGAAAGGCACCTCCTCGTCTTCATGGAGAACCTCTACCCCCGCCGTGCCCTGCACTCCCGCAGCCCCGCCGGCCTCCACCTCCACAGCTACGGGCAGCGCCCCTGGTCCCATGGACCTCTCCGCCGGTCATCGGAAGCTCACCCAGGCCGAAAGGCTAGACCGAATAAATCATGGCCTCTGCCTCTACTCTGGGGGACATGGACACATGGCTCGCACTTGTCCTAACAAGGGACCCCGCCCCATGCACGGAGCCAGTACCTACACTGTACCTGCTTCTGAGCAGCCCCTCCCTCCCCAAGAAGAGTCAGAAAACTAGTGGTCCCATGTACAGCCCCCGGCACTGACATGGGACATGTTAAGTCTTCTCCTCGTTTAGTTATTTCAAGTTTATCTTTGGACGAAATAGAAAATGCAATTGAGAATAACCACTTGGTAGTCGCCTGTGACATCATAGACAACCAACACGTAATCCGAGCCCACGCGCTCATCGACTTTGGAGCAACTGGATATGCTTTCATGGATAAAGACTTTGCTAGCCGTCATCACCTCCCCGTATCTCAACTCAAAGCCCCCGTACACCTTTCTGTCGTCGATGGGAGCCCCATTAGCTCGGGGGCAATTACCCACATTGCCCACTTCGACATCGAAATAAATGACCACCTGGAATCTGTCCCCGCCTTTATCACCAAACTCGGTGGTTACCCCCTCACCCTTGGTATCCCTTGGTTGAAACAATACGATGTTACCATCCGCTTTGCTTCCAATACTGTCACCTTCGAATCTGACTACTGTCTCCAACACTACACTGGGGATATAACCGGCATCCAAGGAATTAAGTATGAAATTCCCCACTTCCTTAAGGCTTATGCCATCCAACGCGCCATCGATCACACTGTGTTGGAACAACAAGAAGTTAAGGAAATTGTCCCCCCAGAATACCACGACCTCCTCCCAGTATTTCTAGAAAAGAATCAAACCAAACTACTGCCTAGTCGACCAGGGGTCGACCACAAGATACCCCTAAAGCCTGGCTTCACACACCCCTTCGGCCCCCTATACAACCTGGCCCCACCTGAGCTAGCGGCCCTGAAAGGATGGATCGATGAAAATCTGGACCAAGGTTTCATTAGTCCTGCCACCTCCTCTGCGGCTTGGCCCGTACTGTTCATCAAGAAAAAGGAGGGCACGTTGAGACTCTGCATCGACTACCCAGGGTTGAATAGGGGAACTGTTAAAGACCGGGGACCCCTTCCCTTGTTAACAGAAACTTTCATGAACATCGTTGAGGCCACCATCTACTCCAAGATCGATATCCGTGGGGCCTACAACCAAGTACTAGTGGACAAGAAACACAGCTGGAAAACAGCCTTCCGCACCCGATACGGACTCTTTGATTCCAATGTCATGCCATTCGGCCTCACCAACGCCCCAGCCACCTTCCAGGCCTTCATCAATAAGGTCCTATGTCAGGGACTAGATAGATTCTGCATGGCCTACCTCGATGACATCCTCGTTAATAGCAAGAATGAAGAAGAACACGTGGAACATGCACGATGGGTATTGAAAGCTCTCCAGGACGCCGAACTAGAAGCCAAGCCACAGAAGTGTGAGTTCCACGTCACCCACATGGAATACCTAGGCTTCATCATCAGCCCCGAGGGTATCCGGATGGACAACGCCAAGGTGGAGACCGTCACGGGGTGGCCCGTCCCTGACTGTGTACGCGAGGTCCGCGCCTTCCTAGGCTTTGGTAACTTCTACCGCCGGTTCATTCCCGCCTTCTCCCGGCTAGCACGCCCCCTCACTGCCCTTACCAAAAAGAACCGCCCCTTTGTATGGACCCCCGAATGTCAACATGGCTTCGACCGGTTGAAGAAAGCCTTCACCACAGCCCCTGTCCTCGCACACTTTGATTTCCACAAGGAGGTGGTCATCGAAACTGACGC